TTCCTTCAACATTCCGTACACTTCTAGACCCTCCTTATCCTTGGATTCTTTCCTTAGATTCTGTTCTTCTCTCTCGGCACAAGCAACAGATATCTTCTCCTTGACCCCTTTAGACCCTCCGTTTTCAGCGTTTCATCTTTGTCGATGTCGAGCCCCTTCCACACGTCCTCTACAANCCGTACACTTCTAGACCCTCCTTATCCTTGGATTCTTTCTTTTGATTATGTTCTTCTCTCTCGGCACAAGCAACAGATATCTTCTCCTTGACCCCTTTAGACCCTCCGTTTTCAGCGTTTCATCTTTGTCGATGTCGAGCCCCTTCCACACGTCCTCTACAACCTTGATCCATTCCGTGGGTTGTCTACCCCACTTTTTGTTTGCCCACTTCGCCTCCCATACAATTGTCGACAACCTCTCGTCTCTTCCCGGCCGTAGGGATTGGATCCCCAAATCTGCCCTGACGGCTGCATTACTTGTGCGCNACATCACCAAGCGCGAAGCGCCGTGAGATATTCGGCGAGTCGCATGAAGGGTGCGCTGCATGCTGTTAAGGGTGTTCGGCATCTTGTGGTTACTTCCTTGCATGCGGATGACAGCTGCGTATGACTTAATTTCTTTTCTGGTGCTTCACTTCCAGAGACAGTTGTAAGCACTGTGTAGCTGCCTCGAGGGTGCTTGACCATTCAACCACAACGTGGTGCGATTATCCCCCTTACGCGGAGTGAGGGTTCTCCACCCCGCACAACATGATCTACTCGACCACCATTATGGTTGAAAACAGAGGTAAAAAAAACAAAAGCACGGTAACCTGGCTGCCGAGTTCACGAAGTGAATTGGCTTGTTCTACAAAGTCATTGCCAAGGGATGAAAACCCAACCCCGATGGCAAACACCGAGGGGGGAGTTGTACTTATAGTCGGGCGGCGCCCTAGTCGGGCGGCTTGTGATACACCTGTTCACACGTGCAAGACTTGGCTGCGTGTGAAATCTGCGGGGACCGATGGTTGGTTGTCTGTTCGATCGTGTCGGAGGCTGACGGTGGGATGACGGATGGTGCCGGGGCCGTTTTTAGTTTTTCAAGTGTGTGTGTTTTTTTTAATGGTTTGGTTTTGAGGTACTGGTGTGCGCCCAACGAGGCCCCCGCAAACTTGGCGCAACGTGCGGTACTGCCATGTTTTGCAGCAGCTGTTCTTCTGACGCGAAGGTCGGGGTACGCACTGAGCGCTGAAAAAACAGGGGCGAGTATTTCCTCGTCACCCATCGCAAAACAAACAGCCGAAAGGGCGACGTGGAGGTAGGGTTGGTTTAGAGTTCTCTTTTTCTTTTCTGGTAGACAACGCGAATCACATGGCAGCGTTGGTGGGCAAACGTCCACACAACGACGAGCAAGAGACTATTTGCCCTTCGGGCAAACGAGCTCGGCGACGGGTTGCTCCCTAGCTGACGTCCCAAAGAAACCCCCCGTACACGCTTGCCCCCCCCCCC